ATGAATGGATAAATGAAAGCATTGAACATATACATGATGGTGTATTTATTCAACTACACAAAGAACAAAATCTTATCATTTTCAGCAAAATGGATGCATAGGGGAAATTTAAGTTGGAAAGTAGCTAGATTGTGGGCATATTTTAAAAAGGAAGTAAGATTTAGTAAGCTCTGTGACATATTTGATCAAAGAGGTCAAAGATAACCCCCCACCCCGCCTGCCACCCCCTCCCTTACACATAACTTGCTAAGAGGGAAGCTTAGGGGTTTTTAGACTTTCAAAATATGAGGTGTTTGAGTATCTTTGTAGAATGAAGTGAGCAGATAGGTATGTTTGTCTGAATGTTAGGGAAGTTTCAAAATAAATATCAATTTTGTAGTCCTCAGTCATGTGATTAGGTAATATCATTTAATGAGTTGGTATAGTTTATACTGAGCTTTAGAATCAAATGAGACTGAAGGGACAACTACCAAATTAGGGGAAAAAAAACAAAAATACTGATGGCACGGAGGCAGAGAGAAACATCAGCTGAAAAGGGAGGCAGTAAAGCAACCTTGTTAACTGCTGCTCACAGGTCAAATCCGATGGTGACTTAGAAATGATTAGTGGATATAGCAACACGGAAGTTTTGTTGGTCTTGACAAGAACAGTATGGGATATAGAAGGGAAATGAGGCAGCAGTTTGGGGAGCACAAGGGGCAAATAGGAATTGTCTTCAAGATGGTAGAAATAAAGTTAGAACTTCTTACTGATGGCCTAAGCTTTTTTTTCTTCTTATGTTCTTTTTTTAAATAAGTTTTTTTTTATTGTGAAAATACTGTAGAGCGGGGTTACAAGTACATGAGCAAGGTAATGAGTACATTTCTTATCAAGTATTGCCTTCTCCTTTGTTTTTCCCCTACTTTCCCTTCCCTCCCACTTCCTCATCTACACTCCCTCCTCCCCCCCACCTAAATAGTAGAGTTCATTTTTCAACATAGAGTCCTGTACATATCATTGTTACAATGGGTCTACCTGTATCCCAATTTAAACAATTTGTTTTTCCCTTCCCCTCCCCAAATTATACCAATATCAAATACAGTGAAAACAGGGGTTATACCGTGGGGGAGAGACAGACAAAGCAAAACAAAAACCCCACATGGTGCCTTATAAATATGTTAGAAACAATAGAAAGAAAGAAAAACCCACTTGTGTCCCTATCTTGGGGTTCATTTTGCTTAACATCATCTTATCTGACCTTTTCTGCTTGTCCCAGACATATACTAGTTATTGCAAATAAGGGAAACCATGGGAAACCATGTTTCTTAGGGCTTGGCTTAGGGCTTGGCTTACTTAATTTAATGATTTTTTTCAAAGTCTTTACCTTTCCTAACAAATGGGTGATGTCATTCTTTCTGATGGAGGCCTAGAATTCCATTGTGTATATATACCACATTTTCTTGATCCATTCATCTACTGAGGGGCATTTGGGTTGGTTCCATATCTTAGCTATGGTAAATAAGGCTGCAATAAACCATTGTGCTGGTAGCTTTAGTATGGTCTTGTTTGTGATCATTTCGGTAAATGCCCAAAAGTGGGATTGCTGGGTCATAGGGGAGCTCTATGTGGAGTCTTTTGAGGAACCTCCACACTATTTTCCAAAGTGGTTGAACAAGTTTACACTCCCACCAACAATGTAGTGGGGTTCCCTTCTGGCCACATCCCTTTCAGCATCTGTTTTTATTAGATTATAGCCATTGTAACTGGGGTGAGGTAGAATCTGAATGTTGTTTTAACTTGCATTTCTTTTATGGCTAGAGGGATTGAGCATTTCTTCATGTGTCTATTGGCCATCCTTCTTTTCTCTTCAGAGAAGTTTCTCTTTAAGTTTTTAGCCCACTTATTTATTGGGCAGTTGTTTCTTTGAAGATTTGTTGTTGGGGGATTTAATTTTTTGAGTTCCAATTATATTTTAGAAATAAGACCCTTGTCCATTGTATGGCTAGTGAAAATCTTGTCCCAATATGTGGGCTTTCTATTGATCTTGCTAGCTATGTCCTTTGGCATGCAGAAGCTCTGCAGCTTCATGCAATCCCATTTGTCCAAACTTTCTTTGATTTGTTGTGTTTCTGGGTCTCTATTAAGAAAATTTCAGCCTGTGCCAAGGAGACCTAGGGTTTCTCATATTCCATCCTGTAATGTTTTTAGAGTGTCTGCTTTGACTCCGAGGTCTTTGATCCATTTGGAGTTGATTCTGGTGCAGGGTGATATATAAGCATCTAGCTTTAGTTTTCTGCAAGTGATTAACCAATTTTGCCAGCACCATTTACTGAAGAGGCTTTCTTCCATTCTAATTTTTTTAGCTTCCTTATCAAAGATTAGGTGGCTATAGGTCTGTGGGTTCACTTTTGAGTTTTCAATTCTATTCCATTGATTCTGAGGTCTGTTCTTGTGCCAGGATCAAGCTGTTTTGATTACTATGGCTTTGCAGTAGAGTTTGAAATTTGGTATTGATATTCCTCTAACACTGGTCTTTCTGCTAAGGATTGTTTTTTGCTCTTCGGGGTCTTTCAATGCGATACCGCTCAATATTCCAATCTTATTCTTCAAGAAAATAGAAGAATGATGGCCTAAGTTTTCTATATTTCCTTTGTGTACAATACCTTACTATGGCCTCAAAAGACATACCTTCACTCTGGACTTGTAATTTTACCAAAAGAAATGTAAGATATGACAATGGGTCCAGAATAGTAATACTTAACTAGTTTAAAAGTGGATAAAATATTTGGTTTCACAGAAAAAAATAACTTTACATTCAACTTTAAAAATAAATTAGAAGGTGGGCACTCACTTCAGGCTCATATCTATCCTAGTAATTTAGGAGGATGAGAGCCAAGGATAGTAGTTCAAAGCTAGCCTGGATATGCAAATCAAAAAGATTCTTACTTCCAGTTAACAACAAAATGCCAGAAGAGAAGGTGTGGCTCTAGTAGTAGAGTGCCAACTGTGAGAAAAAAAAATGAGCAAGATTATGTAGCTCTGAGTTCAAGCCTCAGTAGTAGTAACAAAATAAGGAAAATCATGTGATTAGAAGTTAGATTCAGATAGACATAAAGGAGTTGGAAACAGGAAGAAAGGGAAATAAAATCATGGCACCTGGGGTGCTGGATTTCATACTAATAAATGGTGATATTGTGAAAAGCTCTATCGGATAAGCTAAAACTTGAAACCATTTATTATCTGAGAAGGAAAAATGGACCCATTTTTTATCACAATGAAATAGTTGGATGTTAATGTTATTTTAATACCAGTACCTAAAGTAAATATGATCTAATATGTAGTTACAAGAAACGATTTTAGGTATAGGATGAATTTTGTGTGTGTGTGTGTGTGTGTGTGTGTGTGTGTGTGTCGGTCCTTGAGCTTGAATTTAGAGCCTGGGAAGTCTCTTGAGATTTTTTTTCTCAAAGTTAGTGCTCTACCACTTGAGCCATAGCAGCACTTCCAGCTTTTTTGGTGATGAGCCTCACTGACTTTCCTGCCCAAACTGGCTTTGAACCGCTATCCTCAGATCTCAGCCTCCTACGTAGCTGGATTACAAGGGTGAGCTAACAATGCCCAGCCTGGGGTGAATTTTTAATATTTCTTTGGCTAGCCATATTAATATGACAGATTGGTTCAGGAAATAAGAGAAGGATTTAGATAGAATCCAATCAAACAAATCTTTTGGGGTTATATAGTTAATTTATAATTTTGGAGCTACATGGTTAATTTCTGGATGTAACTTCTGTTTCAGAAAATCTGAGTTCAGAGAATGGTAGTTCATATCTCAACGTTAGCAGGTGTAAAAAAATCTTTTAAACATTTCATTTTCCCCTGAAGAACTGTATGATTAAGTAGCTGGATAGCATCTTCATCAATTCTTAAAAATAAGACATTTGACATACATAGGTGCCATCATTATGACAACTTCTTATTATCCATCAAGTCTCATTTACAAAATCAGATATAAAATATAATGTAGTTCAAGCCCAAACACATTTAATTTTAATTATACTATTTTAATATTATATAGTTACGCCTTTGGAATTTAAAATCCAACTTGTTCTCTCAAAACAGCTAGAATGGTAACGGTCCTACTTTAGAGAGAGACGGGCACTTGCGAAATTGCAAATGTTCTTTGATTAGTTGTTACTGAGTGTCTATTATAGAAAGGTGCTGCCCGAGGTTTCGTGGTTTTTAATTACCTGTATGTCTCTATCAATAGAAATATTGATATTTATTATGTAGTTAATGTAATCAAATTTAAATTTTAAGTAGGAATATGTAATTAAAAAACAATATACAAGAGAACTTTTAGGTTTGAGTTCAAACATCAGAGTAAAACTTGTTTATTTGGGTATCTTTTCTGGAAGACACAAATGCTTCCAAACCACAGAGAAATGCTAGTCGTCTTTCTTTTTCAATTGTTTCATGAGGCAGAATCTTTTTCAGGTGATAAAACTTACAAGCTAAATTAAAATGCACTCTACTCATTGGCAAGCTACATGAGCAAGAATAATGTGATTGCAGTACGTGGAAGTTTTTGATTTATAACTATACTATTCTCTACTTATATGGCTGCAGTCTAGAAGGCAGAGCAATGAATCATTACAATTGTCTATTTGGGAAATGTCAAAAGATTAAGTAAGGATAGAAGAGAGAAAAAGAAAGAGCACACATTTGTGTCCAAGAAATACTCTTCAGTTAATGAGAATGTATCAGTAACACATAAATCTAGTGCCACAGAAATAATAAATTGTAAATTTTTTCAAGTGAAAGTGTGAACAAACCATAATGTTAACAACTTCTTGGGTGGAAGGTACATTGACATTAGAAGCAGTGATAACTAAATCATTCCTCATTCAATAATAACTTTATAATTTATTTCTATCTTCCATCATTTTGTTAGCAGATTAATAAGCAAGTAAGTTTAAGTTAGGGAAATAAATTAGAAATATGAACCAATTAATGATTCAATTAAAGAAACACACACAGTTTAATTGACACTTTCCAATACAAAAATAAGCATCCACAGAATGTTTATTTGCTGTTTAAATTATTCCATATTTTCACATATTGTGAAAAGAAAATATATTTCACCTCACACATAGTAAAAGCAAATAAGTGCAACCTTTCAAACATTAAAAATCATAATCAAATCTGTACAACAGATAAATAAATGTATACCTCTAACAGTTAGCTTATAAAAAAAACAAAAACAAAGATGCACACATTTATTGCCCAAAGTCACCAGTTTACTTAACAATTCTACTATGGCCATTCATCTCAATCACCACTTGACTCTTAATTACACTTTATATGCTTAGATTGATAAATATTGTTTAAAAATAGGAGAGGATCATAGGAAATACCAAAATGGCTACAAAGAACTTTCCAAACATTGGAAATAATATACAAAAATTAATTAGTGGGAAGAAAACATATCAAATGGATCCAAAGACTAACTGACATTACACTGGTATAGATTAAGGAAAACAAACAGGTAAATGTTTGGCCTTTTTATAAAAAGAATCAATGACAACAATAACAATGACAAAACCCTGTCATGGAGCCTCAGAACAACTCTGTGAGAGACTAAGTATACAAAGATTTAGGCTTTTATGTACCTGAAATCCACAGTAAAGAGAAAATCACATCAGGAAACACAGAATATCAGAACATGAATACATATAAATTAAAGGCATATCATTCCACATCATTGCACATATGGTAAGAAAACAATACTGCAAGTCATTCTTGAGTAAAAATATTTTCACGGAAATAGTAAGTTCCACATGAGTTTAGGTAGAGTCTTTTACCACGAATTTAGTAAATATCAAAACACTCAGTGGTGTCACTAAGCTAATAAAATTATCCATACTGTTTACTGGAAAGGTAATCATTTCCCTGACTTCATAGGTTAACTTAATATCAGTTATAAATGGAAATAGAGAACCAGTAGAAAAAGCTTTACATGCAATCCTATATGGTGCATTCTTAGTATTTCATGTTGGATATATACATTGCTTATATATACAACCACACATGCTCAATAGACATGGTACCTTCTTCCCATACATGTTTATATTGATCCAGACAGATGCTCTTCTCCTCTAGGCAGATATAAAGTAATAAAATAAACCTGAAACATTTAAGTTTTGTTTTTTTTAATGATTTGAGGAACCTAATGTCTTGCTTCTTGAATGGATGATAAGAAGAGTAGTCCACAAAAAAAAGCAGCTATACATGCTAATCTTTTCAAGAGAGATGAGTTATCTTTAGGAATAAAAATATGTGCAAGATCATTAGTGATCTGAGAAATTTCATGTGCTACACAAACAAAGATGAATGTGCTGACAATGATGTTGAGCACAGGGTTTCCAGGGATGAGAACCAAGATACCCCTGGTGTCCGCTGCCAGCCATATGTGGTATTGGCAAATAAATAGCTAGGAGAAAAGAAATAGTTGAAGTTAGATATATACAGAGTCCATGAATAAATGAATTTTTCCCAATTTAAATACTTGAAAGCAATAGTTTCCCCAAAAGATTAGATTCTGTCTCACTATTAGCCCTGAAAAACCCCCTGTATATTTTACTTCCCAGGACCCCTATGCTTATACAATACTACACTATACTATCACCCACAAATGAAACTACATTAACAGGACACTGAATACTCAAAAGAGAAACTTCATTTCCTCTATATTAAGGATAACTCAATAAACCTTATACTCTGAAATGCACATTGCAGTTACATAAATTGTTTTAAAAGATTCTATTTCAAATAATAAAGTTCAGACTATGCAGAATGGACTTCAAAACCTACTGTACACTGCTTTTGTATATAATTTATATAGAATGTAAAGTCTAATATTTCCCCATAATTTTCAATCATGTTAAAGATGAATATTATTTTGATAACCATCAATAATCTGAATTCTCATGATATTGTGTTTTATTATGGACATGATCAAGATTTCATTTTTACATGGCCTAATACTTTTTCTCTTCTGATCTTAGAATCTTGATCATGCTCAAAAGCTTAAGACAATGTAAAGAATGTTCAGAAAACTATTTTTCAACTAGTCATTTTAATATAGGCTTTAAAAACATTCCAAAATACTTATAACTGTACATAACAGCTCAAATTCCTTATGCCTATAATACCATGAAAGCTTTGGCTGTTAAAAATGTCAGATTTATGTATTCACATGTGTGCACATGTGTATGTACACACATTCATACAAAATACATGGCTGTGTATAATAAAGCAAAATATTAATGTACTAACCTCTAGTGAAATTTTTCCAAACCAAGCAAAAAATGAACTGTAAACTGAACGGGCATATCCAGGGATGTTCCTTATTAGAATAAAAGCTAAAATCTAAGAAAAAAATGATAAAGATAAACTTTGCTGTATTATTTAAAAGTATTTTAGATAAAGCTTTAAGTGGTTTTAAACTTTCTAAGTTTATTCTGAAAGATTGTGAATTTGACATGTATATTTAAGTTACAGATTTTTTGTTGTTGAGATCTTAACCAAACTGGATTTCTTGACCCAATGTCTGCATTCTGAATATCAATGCAGATTTGAGACAATGCAAGGCTAAAGTTTTTTTTTTTTTTTTTCTGTTTTTTGTTTTTGTTGGCCATGGGGCCTGAACTCTGGGCCTGGGCACTGTCCCTCAGCTCTTCAGCTCAAGGCTAGCACTCTACCAGTTGAAGGCTAAAGTTTCTCTTATAAATATACAATGGAGAAAACCTGCTTTGAGGCTTTCTGAGTAGCAAAAGTTGGTATCATATTTATATGGCAAAACTTCATAAAAGCCCATGATATAATCTTGCTATTTCTGTACAGTATCTGCCTGATTGGCAAGGCAGTCATTCTCTCTTTATTATCTTTCAAACCCCTTGTTATTGTTTAGATATGAAGTGCTCTCTCATAAAGGTTCATGTGTTAAAGGCTCTGTTCTCAGTGGTGTGATTTAGAGGTGATAGGATCATTAGGTACTAACTGGATCAATAGATTAATCCACTGCTGAGTTCATAGGTGAATGAGCTATTAGGAGGCAGGGGCCTAGTGGAAATCATGGGGGCTAAGGGTATATATTTCGTTCCTGGACACTTTCACCCCTCCTTTCCCCCCACATACCTCAGGTATGACTCAACTAAGGGGTATTCATGGGCAACAGCATCATGCAGACTCATCTGAATCTGATAAAGATACGTTATAGGAACACGTGGAGATGTCAAAATGAAATCCCCTTGTGCAACTAATTGGTGCTAATAAAAAATGTAAAAGAGGGGCTGGGAAGGTGGCTCAGTGGTAGAGCGCTTGCCTTGCATGCATGAGGCCCTGGGTTCGATTCCTCAGCACCACATAAGCAGAAAAAAAAAATGTAAAAGAAAAGAATCTGGCTTTTGGATTACATTTGTTTTGGGACCTGTGGAAAGTACGAAACAACTTTTGACTGTGTATCTTTATCTGTACAAATGCAAGTAAGCTTAACTTTGAATGCAAACATTAAATTAGAATGCATTGTAAGTCATTTAAAAAATGTATTAGGTAATTACCATAGGTAGTATACCATATTAGTGTAGGGAATAAATATAACTGATAAAACATTATAAGGCCTGAATAAAATCTTTCATAGTTTTATTATAATTAAAGTATTACATAAACTCTATGTAAAATACTATCATATACATATATATACACACACATAAACACACACATAAAATCATGAACCTGAGCAACACAGTCTAGGAATTGTCCTAAACAATTCATCCTCCTTTTCCTGTTAACTAGCATTCCCCAATGCATACATCCTTTCTTTAGCATAGTCAACTCTTCTTGTTTGGTCACATACTTAGTAAACAATATGATTTGAAGAACAGATGAGAAATTTAAAAATTAAAAAAATGAAAATTTGTATAGCTGAGTACTATCCAAGGTACTCTGAATATATTATTCATAACTAATCATCTGTTTTACAGCAAAGCTCTTCTGGATGTTTCTATCTAGACTCATAGGCAAAACAATTAAGGTCAGGATTTCAAAGACTGATGTCTAAGCCATCAGAGGTGTTAGGCTGGAAAATATCTTCCAATAAAACACTTGAATTCTTGTACATGTTGACAATGTTAATGGAGGTCCCTTAGATAAGTACACTAAAAATTTTCTATCATCCACCTATTTACTACCTACTTATCAATCTATTTCACATACTTACATATTATCACAAAATCTTGTGATACACACACATAACATATATATATATATATATATAAATACCTCTGTTCACATCTAAGAATAACAGTGAATGTAGTTGGAATATGGCTGAAACTTATAGCATTTGAAACTATTTGGATGCTCTTTTACAATAAGAAGCAAATGTTTGAGCATAGAGTGAATACAGTATAAAGTTTAAAAGTTTCATTATCAAGTCTGGAGAATCTATCATCTTCTTGGTGATACTGAGTATGCAGAGGAGTAAAAGAAATAAAATACTCCCTGCCCTGAAGAGAACTGAAGCCCTACAAGAAGCCCCTCCAGAGATTCTCCTAGCTCCTCTTGGATGGGCTCAATTAAGCTTTAACTGAGACACAACTTCCCCTAAAACCCAGATCAATAATCAAGATAAATTAGGAAAAGGTTTTTTTTCCTAAGAAATCTATACTTAACCATCTCTACCCTGTGATTTTCTGCAATCTCCTGTACCATAATTCTACCAAATCTGATTTGAGCTGTTCACAGCTTCTGCCTAACCTCAATTATTACCACATACTTCTCTGGGCTGAGTTCTGGTCTCACTAGCCTTCCTTGGATGGGCCATGCTCCCTTATACTATAAGACCCAAGTTTATAACTTCATCTCTCTATTATGCTTAATTTTCTCAGGGAAATAATTCCAGACCCAATCACCTCCCCTTCAACTTCAACTACGGTCATATACTCTCCCTTGTTATATTTTATTATAGCATCATATACTGTGATTCATAATAATGTGGTTATGTAATTACTACCTCTGAGAAGAAAAATGTAGGCTCAATAAGTATAGGAACAATACTTGATTTACTAATCACTGAAATGACTAACATTTGGAATCAAAAGTTTATTTACTGATATTTTGTGCCAGTCCTAGAGCTTGAACTCAGGGTCTGAACACTATAACCGAGCTTTTTTGTGTTCAAAGCTATCACTCTACCACTTGAGCTCTACTTCCCGTTTGGGGTTTTTTTTTTTTTTTTTGGTGGTTAAATGGAGGTAACCAGGGTGGCTTCAAATCATGATCTTCAGATCTCATCCTCCTAAGTAACTAGGATTACAGGTGTGGGCTATCAGTGCCCTGCTAAAAGTTTATTAAATTTTTAATAAAAATCTTTATTAAATGTTTATTAATACTTATCATTATACAATTCTGAATTTCTTGAGAATTGAGCCTTATATCTAGCATAGTATTTAACACATAGTAATTAAGGAAATTCGAATAATGAAAAGGAGATAAGAATTAATATTTTGTAAATCACAAATACGGAATTAGATCATTTCCAAACATTTAACATGGTAACTCTTGGAGATTTAATATACCTGGTTATTACAGAAGATGGTAAAGTATAGAAAGAATAATAAGTAAAATTTCTACATTACCTCTATGTTTACCCAAAATTAAGTAAAATTTTCTCAACATTAAAAAAAATATTACCAGAACCTGGGTATGGTGGTACACTGTATAATTTAACACTAAGAAGCTGAGACAAGAGGAACATGAGTTCAAAGACAGCTTTGGCTACATAGCAAGACTTGTATCAATGGAACATTACCTGTACCACAGAAACAGACGGGTGGAGTTCATTACACTCTGCTTTGTTTTTACAACTGCTAGCCCAAATGGAGTAAGTCTAAAACAAAACAAAACCAAACAAAACAAAATCTATCAGTTCACAAAAATAGTTAAACTTTAGAGTAGGGAAAGTTCTTATGGCTATTTTATTTACAATATTCAGTTCATCATATTATATTCATTATATTTATATGTGTGTGTCCAAGGTGATTAAAAAATTCTTTCACTGACTCAATTATTCTTCATATTTAATATACATAAACATTTTCCTTAGAATTTATATTGTTAGAAAAAATTAAAGCATGGGCTGGGAAGGTGGCTCAGTGGTAGAGTACTTGCCTTGCATGCTCAAGGCCCTGGGTTTGATTCCTCAGCACCACATAGGCAAAAAGAAAAAAGCCGAAAGTGGCATTGTGGCTCAAGTGGTAGAGCGCTAGCTTTGAGCTGAAGAGCTGAGGGACAGGGCCCAGGCCCAGAGTTCAGGCCCCATGACCGGACCCAAAAAAAAATTAAAGCAAAAAAATTAAAGATATTTACTAAAAATTGATTTTAATCCTTTACTCACTTTAAAATTAATCTTCTGTGTTATGTAAGATTGTAAGAGGGAATGGGGCCAGGGAAAGGGGTAGATAATGAAAGAGGAAAAGGGGAGAACACACTCAAGAATTCATTGTAGGGCTGGGAAGGTGGCTCAGTGGTAGAGCGCTTGCCTTGCATGCATGAGGCCCTGGGTTCAATTCCTCAGCACCACATAACCAGAAAAAAAAAAGCCAGAAGTGACACTGTGGCTCAAGTGGTAGAGCGCTAGCCTTAGCTGAAGAGCTGAGGGACAGCGCCTAGGCCCAAAGTTCAGGCCCCATGACCAAAAAAAATCCATTGTATATACCACAAAATTAAGAAAAATAAAGGCAGAAATGTGTTGAAGGGGGATGAAAATGTTGAGGGATGACACAGATCAGGATGTGTTGCACATATGAACTGCTTTGTTAAATGGCGAAAAAATTCAATACATATTCTAACATATTAAAAAAAGTAAGGGAAGGAGTGGTTTGGGAGGGGTGGGTGAGAACACTGAAAGAGGCGACACTGATCAAGACGCACTGCACTCATAAACCGCTTTGTTGAATGGCAACTGCTTGTACAATTACTTAAAAAAATTTTTTTAAAAAAAGAACTACTACATTAAAAAAAATCTTTAATTGCTGATACTACCTAGCTATTGTGACTCTATGGGGAATGAATTTCATAAATAGGAATAAAATCTATTGCCAGTTATGAAAAAAAAGGTTCTGGAAAATTATTTCAGCAAAACTTACCAAGAAAGAAACTACTGAAATAAACAACAAAACATTTGAAATTTTGCTTGAAAAAAGAGGTTCGCCCTTTCCTTCAGAAAGTACTTGACGTTTCTGTAAAGCCAAATAAATGAAAGCAAACAGCATTCCATGAAAAACTACCTGAAAAAAACAAACGAGAAAAATTGTCTTACTTTACAAGAATTAGCAAAAATATTTTGTTAATGATGACTATATCACCAAAAGTAAGTCAGTTAAAAGTTTAAGGGTTTGGCATTTTTATAAAGAACTTAAAAAGTTAGAGTGAAACATCAAATAATGAAATAAAGCCAGTGATTGTTAGAAACCATCAGTGATAGGCAGGTCAAAGGCTCTTGTATTTATATGATATAAAACTAGTTCTCTGTGAGCAGTCTCAGAAGGAAGTAATAAAGACAATTTATTTACTTTACTCTATGTTTTTCTGGTGGTGGGGATTAAGCCCAAGGCTTTGTGCATATTGGATACATGCTGTGCCACTGTGCATGCTAATTAAGTACATGACTCCAGTCCCAACAACTTAAAAATAAGAATTTCTCCTAATGATACATGATAAAAATTTAAATACACCCAACAAGACATCTTTTATACTGATCTACCAATTTTTTAGTCAAATAAAATCAACAATAATACCAAGTACACTTTTAAAAAGCATATATACATAGGAGTGAAAAAAACAATGTAGAGCAGAAAGCACATAATGTTTCCTTTTTTTTTTTTTTGGTCCGGTCGTGGGGCCTGAACTCTGGGGCTGGGTGCTGTCCCTCAGCTCTTCAGCTCAAGGCTAGCGCTCTACCACTTGAGCCATAATTCCGGCTTTTTTCTTTTTGCTTATGTGGTGCTGAGGAATCGAACCCAGGGCCTTATGCATGTAAGGCAAGCGCTCTACCACTGAGCCACCTTCCCAGCCCTATAATGTTTCTTAAAAAAATGATATGAACATACAAATAGACCTAGTAAACACACAATATGAACTATGGACATTTAATATTCATGTAAACCCGTAAAGTTTGAAACCTAATCTCCAATGTAACAATTTTGAAGTTGGGGTTTCACAGAATTGAAAAGGTCATGAGGGTGGCCCCTTTATAAAGTAAGGAATGAGTACTGTTACCCTGATAGCTCCCTATCCTTTCCACTATGTGAGGACATGGGTCTGTGAAGCAGGATATAGATACGCACCATAAAACCAAATTTATACACAGTCAACTTAAATGCCCAGTCTGGTGCTCTGCTTAGTAGTTCATATACACTAAGAAGCGTATCATAGTAAACTACTCTAAGTGAGGCTTTAGAAAAAAGCTTCTATTCATATATGGTTTGGGAATTCAATAAACAGTGAAAAGTGGATAGGTATTGGAAACCAGGAATATCATCGAACAAGACTCCCCCACAAAAACCATTTGTTGAAAGCAAAAGGAGATGAGTCAAAGATAGAAAGAAGATGCAAGTATATACAACTGTATTAACTGAAATAGAGTAGATTCAAGGGGGAACTCAAATAATATAATTCCTTAGAAAGCAAAGCCAAGATTCTACAAAATAAACCCCATGAAACAAGTATGTGAAGGGGTAGAGTGAGGTCAAGGGGAGAAGGGTAGACAAATGAAGAGGAAAAGGGAGGGGAGGGGAGGAGAAAGCAGTCAATAATTCAATGTGTACCCTACAAAATTAAGAAACAGGGGAAGGAGTAGGTTGAGAGGGATAAGTGAGAATGCTGAAAGGAGTAAGTGATCATGATACATTGTATTCATAAATTGCTTTGTTGATGGCAAATTCTCTGCACTACTATTTAAAGATAATAAAAATAAAAGGTAAAGAATAATCAGTATTTACTTAATATATAGTATTTTCTAAATGTCTTATATTTTCTCAGCTGGTGGCTCACACCTGTAATCCTAACTACTCAGGAGGATGACACCAGACAGGAAAGTCTCTGAGACTCTTATTTCCAATTAATTACCGAAAAGCTGGGAGTTTTAAGGCTGAAGTGGCAGAATGCTAACTAGTCTTATGCAAGACAAAACAAAACCAACAAAAAAATACCTCAGGGATAGTGCCCAGGCCATGAGTTCAAGCCCCAGGACTGGCACTCGTGGACAAACACATACACAAAATCAGTCAAGTTTCTGGTCGGGAGGGCTGTGTAGAGGTGAGGAGTGACCTGCAAGGGCTCATCCATTGAGCTAGAAATTGAACTCTAGCCGACTGAATCTTAACTGGTTTTTGCTTGGGAATGGTTTAAGTTGTGGAACTATGCCTAGCCAAGTGCAAGCACAGATTTCAAACCTTAGTACCACCAAAAATGAAAAAGAAAAATGAATCTTAACCATTTTTAACTTCATGGAATAATCCAATACATTCCTGTTTATTCTTTTGTATAATTCTACAACAAAATTCCTACTGCATAGGTTAGTGCTCCAATATAGGTAGTAATCTTGGAGTTTTTAGACTTAGATTGCAAAGGCTTAGAAGCCCTATGGGTGTATCTTCCTTTTCTAATGTACACTTCACATCACCAATATCTAGGACTTAGAAGTTCAATATTCTGAATTCTATTCTGAGTTGTTGAAGCATATGTGGATCACTGGATTATAGCTTATTCCTAGGCCACTTTAGAAACATTTTTATATTATCTGCTTTCTGGTGAACATACACATGCATTTTCTATTCCTGCTGTAAAGAATAAGGAGATGGGGTAGACTTTTAAATGACTTACTAAATCTATTCTAAAATTAGATAAAATAGATAAACGAGTTACTAAATTACTAAAGCTCAAAAAGTATAATTTGAAATGGCAAAATATCACAAAGTAAATACATACGTAACGGTCCAACCTCCATCTGAACCACCATTCATACACATTCCCATTCAGCTCAAAACACTTAGACAAAGGCCAGAGAGAAAAGATCTTCTCAAATGCACCCTGAGAAAAGAAATCCAGAAACATTGTTACGATATAAATCAACATTTGTTTTGCAAGTCTATTTTAAACTGTAGTTTTCTAAAGTTATGATTCACAATGTTTAGTCTATTCATATAAAATATTAGAAATTCATTGTAAAATAAATTAATTTTCTAATGACCAAAACAGAGGTGACTTAAAGCTTTTTAAACTTATTCACACTTTACATGAAAGCTACTAAGACTGTAGTTTTCAGAATACTAGAACTTGGAAAATCATTCTATAGCATTACAAGAGTCCTCTGAACTAGTCACCTTACTCAATCATTCAGAGAATAAAGATGCAAAAGTCTTATAACATTCCTGGACATTAATGAAGTCTTTTAAAAACAGAGATCAATTGCCAGACTAAGGAACCACAACAAATTCTATTAAGAAAAGCTCCATTATTGGACCTAATGCCACAATAAAAAAATGTATTTATATGTGTTTTATATCTATCTATCTATCTATCTACAATTACTAAATTACTGAAGCTCAAAAAGTGAAAATATTTCAGGTAATGCTGAATCATTAAGTCAAAAACATTATATTAACAAAATGGAATAATCTTCGTTTATTCACAAGATTTAAAAGAGTATAGTAAAAATAGATTATATCAAAATTTATGCTCCAGAAAACTGTTAATTCTTACTAAGAGTTGTACTCCTAAGTATCTTGGATCACATACATACATGCATATTGATATGAATATAGATACAGGAAATTTACAGCTTAACGTTTTATTTCTAATTACAATTTACTCTTCTGTTCGAGCTTTCAATTTTTAAAAGATAAAGAGCTACACTAGATTTTCTTTTGTCCAGGGATCAACACTGACCCAGAGCCAAAGAAATCATCTATTGACTCTTAAATCTCTGGTCAGCTTTCTGTTCGTTCCCACAGAAGCACTCATGGGGTTGGAAATTTTGATAAAAAACTGTCAAGTAGTTGTTGCTCTTATTTCTTTATATACTTGTCTGCTGCTTCCTTATTGTTTTATTTATCTCCTATTTAAAAACCCTGATGTCATGCATAAATGAAAACGTTTTAAAAAATTCTAAGTACGCAAATAAGTATTAATGCCTACAAAAAAGCCTCTCCAAAATAGCTTAGTAAAATTATACACAAAATACACATGAAGTATTTACACTTGACACAGCCTGGTACAAAGCCAAGTGATAGAGATACAGTGAACTGTAGAATGTGTCAAAACTATAGGCATTCAAAGTAAAAATATTGTTATAAATATCATTCTTCCCCAAATAAAATGTCTTCCTGATAGACTGAACCAGCACAAGCAGACTGGCATACTGCTAAAACAACAGAATATGCCAACCATTAAAATAAAAGGATGAAAGGTTAGAGGTAGGAAAATGACCCAAAATTCCATTAAATTAAATGTATGATACATAAACAAACACCTTTGTACCTAAGTTCACTTTACTAACTGCCAAAATTTTTCTCTATGCAGTTATAGAAAAATCAGGTGAAAGTTTGATGAAATGAATAATGCACAAACCAAGCTGCAAATTCTGTCAAGAGAATTTTGATCTCCACTTAGAGTAGTGTCTTCTAAGAGGCATTCAATAAACGTTTGATTGATCAAAGTCAAGTAAAATGGATCTTGAACAACTGCCAGAAGAAGAGCTTTAAATTGCTCTTACAACAAAAACAGTGGTAACTAAAGTAGAACTACATTGAATAGTCAACTACAAAGTGACACTTTTATTACAGTCATTAAAATATGAAACAAAAAAGGTTCTGACTCTTCTCACATACTTTAATAGACTTGAACTTTAAAATACTACAAAATAAAAACAGAAAAGGCTGTACAAACCTGAGAATATGCCAAAAAACAAATGCACAACAGCAAAAAGGCTAGCTTCAACAGTAAGCCAAAATGCCAGAAACAATTTCCTAAGAGAGAAAATATTCAATTTACTAAAAAAAAATTCATATTAGAAAACGTATTAAATACTTTCTATTTAGAACACTTATACCTTGACTAGTTCTCAAGATAATTTAAGGATGCATAATAAGGATATAAAATGTATCTACTGGAGTAGAACAATGTAAGGGGTGTCAAAAAATAAAACTAACTAAATAACTAGATAAATAAAATATACTAGGTGGTATAAATTACAGGTAGGACAAAGGGGAAAAAAAACGTAGGAGATTCTTTTTAGAAATGAGACTAAAATGAAAAGCAGTACCCTGTACACTGTTGTTGATCCACTATAGATATATCTGAAGACATTTTAAAATATATTTAAAAATACTGCTTAGATATTATTATACTTAATCCTACAAAATATAGAGTATGTTCAATGTAATGTTAAAACTCATATTAATATTGCTTAAATATTATAGTCTTAAAGAAAGACTAAACTCTCTAATGGGATTCAACCACAAAACACATTTTAACATACATATATTTGAAATTGTGTTCAAATCTTTATAAACATTAACTAATAGGTTAGGTTTGTGTAGATAAACTACATTATAGAGGCTGTCCAAAGACACCATTTCAACTCTTTCCAGAAAAATTATCTGATATTATAGTGAGATCCAATGAAAAAGTGTTTTTGATATATATTTGCCTAAAAGCCAAATGTGCTTTTAAAAATAAAAAAGCATTATTTCTCCAAACAAAGGAAATTTCATTTTAATGATATGATCTTAAGAAAAATAGCATTAACATAAATAAATGATTAAGGCTTTAATTTGAATATGATCAGTAACAAGTGATAGGAAATATGAATATGAAAACTTTTGGGATACTTAGTTCTTTATGCCTTATATGTTAGATAGGTTGATAATAGCTATTTAACTATTTAATTTAAATATTTATCTAGCACTTATGTTAGTGCTTTAAACTTCGTTTGATATAAGAAGTATTTACTGAAAGACTCCAGAGGGCTAACAAATGGAGAAAAGAAGAGGAAGAGAATGTAATCATAATATTCAATATATATATGTGGAGATGGAACCAGAGAACTTGAAGGGATGGGAGAGATAGGGGAGAATGATGGAAAGGGTGGCATTGATTAAGATGCTTTGCACTTACAAAGTGACATGCTGACTTGAAACCCCTCTGTACTATTACTTAAAGGTAATTTGGGAAGGGTAAACAAAGGAGGAGGCTACAATGCTTGATAAGAAATGTACTCACTATCTTGCCCATGTAATTGTAACCTCTCTGTACAGAATTTTCACAATTAAAAAAAAAAGGATTATAGCACACGCCTATAATTCTAGCTACTTAGGAGGCTGAGATCTGAGGATTGCCAATTTGAATCTAGCCCAGGCAGAAAAATCCCAGTGAGACCCTTATCTCTAATTAACCACTCAAAAACTGGAAGTGGCATTATGGCTCAAGCACTCGCCTAGAGCACAAAGAGGCTCTGGAACACTGCCCAGTCTCTGAGTTCAAGCCCTAAAACTGACCAAAAAAAAAAAAGATAATTTAAAAAGGAAAAGTTGAAAAACTCTCTTTCTCTCTCTATATATGCATATATATCTATATATCAGAACTGTCAAATACTAAGGCAAGATAGCTGGCTGAAGTTGAATTTAGTTTTTCCTTCTCCCAGCTCTGTTACACTCTGGCATTACACTAGGAAATGTGAAAACTACTGTATTAGCTAGAGGGAACCCACATATAAACCAGTATTACAAGTGTTATACTGTATTGCATACTATGTCATTATAATCTTCACTGAACTACTCTAATATTTTAGAAACATACTTTAAGAACAAAACTTCAAAATGTCAAAACTATACATGAATGTCTACACATCTCAATAAAAAGAAAAGCTTCTCAACTAAAAAGGAATTTTATACATTGAAAGAACATTTATTGACATTAGTAAGAGTATATTTACCATTTGCTTTTTTTTGAATTATTTGGGGCCATAGTGCTAAAGTAACATATATGACCATAAACCATACAGTGACCAAGGGGACAAAGTAATAGAATTGATAAGGTCGATCCATTACTATACATAACACTACTACCAGGAAATTGAGACGAAATAAGACCTATGAAAAAAGAGAAGAAAATAGTTTTTATTCCAGGTATACAAGAGTAAAGACAGATTTTCTTTCTGACAGAGTATTAACATTGAGGCCTTAAAAATAACTGTATAAATATATTTTATTAATCTTTAATTATATTTGTATAATCATTGTAATTATATATCCTTATATTAACTAAATCCCATCAAAGTGCCAGCTTGAGCTGTCCTCTAGCTTCAACTATCATCTTGTTAAATATAAGGGAAAAAAAAACATAAACCTCTTTTGTAGAGCTATAGTTTATAAGCAGAGATTGGATTACCTCAAGAAAAGGGTATCCATTTCATCTCTCGTCTGACTATGATTTATCCCATTGGGATTAAACTGAGGGTTGTCACAGTTACAAAGTAATATTACTCTAATTTAAAAAAAATGTCTTTGGAGCCTTTGCTATCATCATCTCAGATATCAGTTGGAAGTCATTTTAAAAACAATATTTGAACAGATTTTTATTAGTGCTATATCACTTATTATGAAACCATGGACAGATTATATTATCTTTCTGAGTCTTAGTTTCCTTATCTGTAAACATGAAATAGTATTGCAATAGAAGGTATATAATGTTTAAAAACTAGTTAGCACAAGGTAGAAAGCTAATAAAATATGTACTAGCTGAAGATTATCTACTCTTCAGAGAAACAACTTGTAACAATAACTCTCTACCTATATTTGTTTGAACTAAATGAATCAACAATGTCACTTGCATATCAGTGGTACTACTGTACATTATCTAAATGATACTTTCCTCCTCTCACCAAAAAATTATCTCAAATTATCAGACTATAATTTTGATGTTATTTCATAAATTCAAATTATTCAGTCTTATACTGACCTTATTCATATTTCCTCAAGAGTTAGGCATAGAAGCATGTCAAATTGAAAGAAAAACATAATAACTCAATGAATTCCTACCTGACATACTCTATGGATTCCAAAGTCGCCTTTGATCCAAAAATATGAGAAATGTCCATACCCTGTCTGAAACAGATATGCAGCAACCAGCACTCGAATATGCATGTACACAGGCAAAAACTGTTGACAAGAATAAATAGGTAAAACATATGGTGGTATAAACTATTCCTTGAATTATTATAACTTAAACATCAGCATACATATTTGTTTATAAAGAAACACCATTTTCATTTGGTATTAACTCAATGAAAACATTCTCAAGACATTATTATAGCAATGATTACAAGAATATAGACTTCGCAATCAGATGGACACATGTTCAAATTCTAGTTCTGTTACTTCTATCTATAGGACATTAAGTTTTCAAACTCACAAAATGAGAATTTTACCTTCTTTATTAAACAGTTCTTATTAAACACAAAGGAAATAATATATAGAAGGAATTTTATAGATTAATTTGCACCCAGGAGCAATTCAATGTATAATAGTGGCAATTATTAACCACCATACATCCTGATTATACTGGATTTCATATTTTCTTAATATGAGGTGAAAAACAAGACAACAAACACTATTTATTTCTTAAAAATTTAAGTCTTAGACTTGTAAGTAAAATAACCAAATAACTACTTTTAATACTTAACAAAATACCTAACAAAATAAATATTTTAGAAAACATATCTAAGCATAATTTAGAAATATCCCTCCCCTCCACTTTGTTTTTTGGATAGTACTGGGGTTGAAACTTAAGGCTACCATTTAAGCTTGCTTGCGTGGCTGGTGCTCTACCATTTGAGACACTCTTCCAGTCCTAACTTTTCTTCTATGAAACAACTGTTTAATACTCCTACTGTCTTCATCATGATGGAGCTCATTAAAATCATTTACTCTGATGTTGCAAAGAATCACATCCTCACTTCTAAGGTAAAAAGCAACACACTTCAACTCAATGTATAAGGATCATGGGAAATGTTACTTTAATTCTCATTGTCTTACACATTTCACCTGACTACCAATCACTTTCAGCAGTATGTTCACCATCTCTTCAACATACTTGCTGCATTTGTTTTTTGTTTTTCCTTTTTTCCTTCCTTCCTTCCTTCTTTGCTCCCTCCCTTTCTTTTCTTTCTTAAAATTTTATTTGAGACAGAGGCTCAATATGTAGCCCAAGTTGGCCTTGAATTCACGATCTACCTGCTTCTGCAAGTGAGTTATGGTATTACAACAATGTGTCACTGTGCCCACTTCTTATTTTGATTTTTAAAATATGATCTTTGGCCCGGTGCTGATGGCTCACTCTTGTAATCCTAGCTACTCAGGAGGCTGAGATCTGAGGATCGCGGTTCAAAGCCAGCCTGGGCAAAAAAGTCTGTGAAACTCTTATCTCCAATAAACCACCAGAAAATCAGAAGGCGCTGTAGCTCAAGTGGTACAGCGCTAGCCTTGAGCTGAAGAACTGAGGGACAGCGCCCAGGCCCAGAGTTCAAGCCCCATGACCAACAAAAAAATAAATAAATAAAACAATATGATCTTTAAAAGGCTTGTAGAGTGATACCTAGCCTTTGCAATTGCTAAATTTCTATGGGTTCCATTTTACAAACTCATCTGATCACCTTTGCAAGTATCCAGCATAAATATTGTTTATGACAATAAAGTGAGTATAGGCATCTTTTGCATGTTTGCTGAGTTATATTTTTAGGTACTAATATTCTGGGAGAAAAACTTAAATATATCATAAATTTTCCTCATCTCCATTTTAACTGAACTGTTAAGATTCCACATCCTCTAAACTGGTCTTCTCACTTATATTCCCTTGCCAACTACCTTGTTTACCTGTTTAGTCAGTCATAAAATATTCTTCCCTTCCCAAATTTTGCTTAATCAAACATTATCCTCCTTCATAGCAGGTCAAAAACCCCAATACTGGCTGGACAATTATTAACTACTATAGAGTTCTTTTTCACTAAAAGCTGAAATCCATCTGTAAAAGATACAATTTCAGTCCTCTAGAACAGCTATGTCCTACAGAAATAAAATGGGAGTCATCTGTCAATGTAGCTATCAGAACACTTAAAAATTTAAAAGAAACAAATGAAATTAATTTTAACAAATATATTTACTTTAATATATATAAAAATATTGTAACTTCAGTATGTATAGGGGATGATAGACTTTATTTTTACATGAAGTTTTTTAAACTTAGTACTAGTTTATTTTAATTATAATTCTCAGTTCTGACTAGCTACATTTGAAATGCTCAAAAGCTTTATGTAGCTACTGGTTACTACAGTAGAGTGTAGCTATAGATCCACAGTAGAGTATAGCAATAAATCCATAGATGTATGAATCTATGGATTACCATAATAGGTAACCTTTCTTACATCTGATCTGCATTCAAGTATTCGAAACAGATGTCAAACCTATGTTAGCCATTCCCAATTACTTTAACCACTTTCCATAAAACATGCTCTCAAGTTCTTTGAGACTTGAGCTGAGAAATCTGGTAAATATATTTAAACAGCAAATACAATTCACTTAACTGAATGAAATTTACTGTTATAACAATTTCAAGGTCCTACAAATGCTGGTCTATTATAAATTTCAAGCAACATTTCTGTTAAAGTTTTACTACAATATATTTTAAACCGTAACAAAGCTAAAATACCAAGCTACGCTGAGAAATGTTAAGTGTTGTAGAGCATGTGACAGCACTCCTAGGCATTTGGCTATGGTACTGGTAGAAAGAGAGGTAGCTTCTTACAAGACGACACTATCATCACCACACCCAAGAAAATTAATATGAAAATAATAGCATCTACTTTAGAACTCAGATTTAAACATCTCTGATTATTCTTGTATACAATTAAAGAAAATGTATCTGATATGGTCATATATACCTAAAATCCCAGAACTTTAGAGGTGAAAAGCAAGAGGATTTCAAGTGCAAGGTGAATTTTTGAGACTCTCAACAAAGGCTAGGATATAGCCCAGTGGTATATGCTAAAAATGTGCACATTCCTAGGTTCAATTCCTAGCACTGAAAAAAAAAATAAATCTAGGGGCTGTCTCAGTATAAGTGGTTTTTCTTCTCATCTTTCATCAGTCAAGTATCAAAACAAAATTTAATTTATATATCAATATATGTATATATCTGTTGTGTATGTATTTAAAATATGTTTAACATTCTCAATACAAAAGATTTAAGAGCTTGACTGACTCTGGTTTTATTCTTTTCTGGTTCTCCAAATTTCTTAATGAAACTCTGAGAATAAAAAAACAAACAAACACAATACAGGGAAAAACAAAATAACAAATACCAAGCAAGTGGTTTTCTCTCTATTAAGTTCACAGCATTTTAAATGAAGTACATATTTGATATGTAAATTTTATTTTAAAGGAAAATATACCAACAATCACAATCTGCTAGACCATCTGGGTTATTTTAATAGTCTTCTGCAATTTTTAACATAGTTTGTCTTTTGGCATGAAATATGGCACAAAGTTTGAAATGTTTTACTCAAAACATTAAAATAAGTAATTAAAATAACCATGGCAGTTAAAAGTTTTTAATGAGATTAATCTCTCAACTATCCAGGAATAAAGTCTCAAAATATAAACTGTACTAACAATGTTTGTCAATATAGGTAATTTTTAATGACAAAATGTGATATAACAGAAGAATGATATAGTAATTAATCATTACAAATGATCAGTTAATGAAAAGTATGTCTTTCCAGAGCAGGGTATTTTTTTTTGTCAATTAGAATGAATTGGGAGGTAATCTAAGAAGATATATTAGAATATTAGGTTTGTAAGTGATTATAATAGAAAGCTAAATTATCTTCATCCTATTATGATCTAAATTCTATCTGGAATCATTGACTTGAGAAACTTAATCTTCCATGAATTCTATTTTTTTAATAGAGATATCACCCTGTAATATGTCAGCAATTAATTATGTCTCCACATGGTATTTTCTTAAAACGAAACATGTTTTCCTCTGAAACTCAGTCTTTATTCATATGTCAGCAGTATTTCTCTAATTCAACATTCAATTCCAAGGTAGGCTTATAAACTAAGTCTTGTCATCTCCATCTCTCCTTGCTTCAGGTATCTCTGTCTTAGCTCAACAATAACTACTCAAATTCCCTAGCTCCAGCTTATTCACAGCTTCAATGTTCACAGGAACTTACTGCTGTTGCCACAAGTATACATATTATAGCCATATAATTTCAGTAAAAAGTACATGTCATTCCATTACTTTGTATCTTTCAAACCATCCATAAAATCACCAATTTTTAGAAATAAGAGATAATTTTTACATATATGAAAAATTATTTACTTTCTTATTGCTGTGCTGCTATGTAATTTTCAAAACGTTCTTTTCTGATAACTTCTCTCTTATGTCAATTTAGCACTGATTCAAATACTGTTTATGAAAAGTCATGGACATATGTTTTATATTCACAAATAAAGGAATAAAACAGTTTGGGAGTCCCAAATTACAAATAGTTTCTAATTTAAATTTCCTCTAAAAAAGTTTTCATCAGTCAGTTTGAACCTTCACTATGAAAGCCTAGGTGAAAAGTTGTTAGGCTCAGCTACAGAAAACTTTTTAATGCACTACAGCAAAATGTTACAATTAAGAATAGATTTTCTTCTAACCCTGCCATATTCAAGGGTAGCCACAGATCAGGAAGAAAAGAGTTTCATCCAGATACAAAGGGCAATGGCTCACCAAAGCAGGGTCTTCTACTACATGCAGGAAGAAGTGCTTCAGAATGTGGCCTTGGGTGGGGCGCTGGTGGCTCACACCTGTAATCCTAGCTACTCAGAAGGTTGAGATCTGAGGATTGGGGTTCAAAGCCAGTCCGAGCAGGAAAGTCCATGAGACTTTTATCTCTAATAAACCAGAAAACTGGAAGTGGCTCTGTGGCTCTCTTCAGCCTTGAGCTGAAGAGCTGAAGGACAGTACCCAAGCCCAGAGTTCAAGACCCACAACCACCACCACCAACAACAACAAAATGTGGCCTAAAATATACAGCCCTTCAGCTACTTCTACAATGCTAGCATTAAAGATAAGTCAATTCAAATGAATTATTCCCTTGTCTTCTTGAACAAAACTCATTTTGCTTTAGAATTATAGATGCACAAAATCAGAAGAAGAGTGAAAAGGTAAAATGATTAAGTGGAAATCAAACGGCTCTCTAAACAACAGAGAAAATAGAAAACAAAAAGTACCCTTTAAGAAGCAGTAAAGTGATTTGTATCATCTGAACTTAAATTCAGATTACTTACTGTACTTGCTCCAGAGATATGATAAATTAAAATCACAAGTTGCATCCAGCCTTTCCATTCATCTGTTTGTTCTCTATTTAATACTTTAGTCTGCATAAAGGAACCAAAATCTGTTTAAAGATTCACCAAGAAGTAATTCTTTGGATTATATATATTATATATTCTTAAAACACATCAAAAGTAATACTTCCATAAGAAGAATCTTGGTGGGGAAGAGAGTTAAACACCTTTCATTTCATGCTAAAACATGAAATTAAGCTATTTTAAATATAATTTGAAAAATAACTATAAACTACAGAGATTTTGAAGAACTTAGTTGATTTTTTACAGTTTTACATTAAAATCGCATTTAAACATGACAGATGTATTTGAAGATCTAAAAATGATATTTGATAACAAAATTTTGGAATTTCAGAGTTAAAAATTATTTTACAATTCTCATACGTTATTGAGAATAAGGGTCTACTATTATATTTTCCCTAGTATGCTTTTATTGGAGATAAAGAACAGATTAATCATTCTCATTTGAAAATTACTTTTGACGATAGAACTTAATTCAAATTAAATCACTCATTCCACAAAAGTTACACTAATATTCTGAGCAATGACAGCAATTTTGAATTAAGAAATTAAAAATATCATGTGTAGTCATTACATCATTATTTAAGTTCTGAATTTTGGGGAGATTTGCCTGATTAATAAATATAACATGTTTGTACATATTGGAATTATATGTATTTATATAGAACAATATATTTAATTACATATATATTTGTATATACATGAGATATTAAATAGTACCTAGCATGTGAAGGTGAGTATAACATCAAAAGTCTTCCCACCTTCTCCATCTCTAAGCAGGCAATATTAACACTAAGTCAAGATTTTTTCCCACAGGTCATACTTTCCAACTTTTTATAACCTTTCACTTGATTCTGAATTTCCTCCATATTATTTTGAAAAGCAAATGTTTATGGGGGGGGAATGATAGAATGGGTGTGACAATGATCAAGATGTACTATACTCATAAATTAACATGTTGAATTAAAATCTTTTTGTACAACTATTTAAGGATAATTTTTTTTGGGGGGGGTCAGTCATGGGTCTTGATCTCTGGGCATGGTACTCTGTCCCTGAGCAATTCAGCTCAAGCAAACGCTCTAGCACTTGAGCCAAAGTACCACTTCCAGTTTTGTGGTGGTTAACTGGAGATAAGAGTCTCCTGGATATTCCTGCTTGGGCTGGCTTTGATCTGTGATCCTCAGATCTCAGCCTTCTAAGTAGCTAGGAGTACAGGCATGAGCCACCAGCGCCTGGCTAAGGATAATTTTTAAAACTAAAAAAAAAAAAAATTCAGTAAGTGAAATTCCTTAACCCCCATTTGTATACATGTTTGAATATTCTGGCATAGTAAATAATATTTAACTTAGATTTTACTATGAGATCAGATGGATAACGTGAGCTAAAATAAAATTGATTCTTACCTCTTTTGTATTTTCATTGTAAAATATTCCCAAAACCAATATATAGATAATGGGAATAAAGAAAGATGAATGAGTATAAAATTTGTTTTCCTTCATAAACAGATTTGCACGGTCACACATATAGAAATAAGCCATAATTAGGCCAAGTTTGCAGAAAGACTGTAAAAGTATTTCTAATGGAGACACAGGGGTATTGATAATATTTTTCTTTTCCTCTCCACTTTCCAAATCAGTACAAGGCTTATTCTTCCGATGAGCATTACGATGAATAATGTAAAAAATCAAATATCCAATAATAGATAACGTGAAGAAACAAGCAGCTAGCTTCTGTATGAGAGTAAGAGGAGGCTGAGGTTGACAACAGGAACCATCTACAGGCTTCAAAATCTTATTGCAATACACATTCATAAGAATCATGGCACTCTGTGAACAAATCAAGTTATTTGGTTATTATCTTGTCAGTGATGTATTTCATATTTGATTTTCTCCTGTGAATATTTTTGAGTTTTCAACACTTTTGCAACCATATTTCAAGCAGTCATGCACACATAATAGTATTCCTTCAATTTGTAATAGCTAGTTCAGGGTGTTTCAAATTTCTGGTTATGATTCATAATAAGAAATTTGTTTATGATGTGACCTAGGAAATATTTACAGGAAACAATTTCTCTCCTTACTATTTGGAATATATTCTATGGTTCCATTCTTCAAGGAAATAAAAATAACCACATGGGGAAAAAAATGCCACACAAACCCCCATGGATTTCATGGTTACTAATGAATCATGACCTTTGGTTAAAAAAAATTCTAACATGCCATGCACTGGTGGCTCACACCTGTAATCCTAGCAACTCAGGAGGAAGAGATCTGAGGATAGTGATTCAAAGCCAGCCAAGGCAGAAAAATCCATGAGATTCTTTTATCCAACTAACCATCCTAAAAAAAAAAAAGAAAGAAAGAAAAAAAAAAGAAAAAATGCTGGAAGTAAGCTGTGCTCAAGTGGCAGAGCACCAAAGTCAAAAAGCTCAAGGATCACACCTTGAATTTAAACAAAATAGATACTGACAGATGTCAAGGGCCAGAGTTTGAATTAGCAGAATTTCAAAACAAAAGATACCAGACTATAGGGCCCCAGCTTTTTTCATATGTATATATACATATGAAAATATATATTATTGTAAAAATACTATATAGAGAGGTTACAGGTACATGAGTAGGATAATGAGTACATTTCCTATCAAGCATTGTTACCTCATCCTTTGTGTTTCCCCTACCCTTTGTGTTCCGCCCGCACCCCCCCCGCACCCCCCCTGCCCAAATTGTAAAGTTCATTTTCAATATAGTGTCTTGTACATCTTATTGTTACAATGGGTCAACCTGTATCTTTATTTCAGAATTTTGTTATATCTCTTCCCCTCCCCAAATTAGAAAAATGTATATACAAGATGCAGGACAGTGGAATCAGATACAGTGAAAACGGGGGTTATACCATGGGAGAAGAACTTGTTCAACTACTTTGGAAAGCAGTATGGAGGTTCCTCAAAAGACTCCACATAGAAGCCAAGTGCAAAGAGACAAACAGCACATGGTCTCCCTGATAAGTGGATGTTAAATCCAAAATGTTAGGTGATACACAAAATTAACAGGACTTAAGAAACAAAGGACTTCCACTCATCTGGTTGAATCACTACTAAATAACTCCCATGCTGCTGATCACATGTATGATATATATGTGCACACCGGAGGGAATCCAGGAGGACAATACAGAACTAGAGGGAATCAGGGAAAAACATACAACAGCGGGACCCATCAACTGCACTGGACCCTGACCAAAATGAACTAAGCAACTCAATGGCAGTGATGGGAGGGAGGGAACAGCTGATGCTATGCAAAACAAAAGAAATTACATATGACAAATGTGGAAGAAATAACTGTATTACAAAGCTCATAGAACTCATAAATGTTATAGACCATGATAGACAATTTGTTCTATGAAAGTTAGAATGTGTTTGTGACTTTAACTAAGCTTCACTATCCCACAATACTGTGAAATTTGGGAAATTATGTAACCACTTAATCACAATAAAAAATTTGAAAAAAAAGACTCCACATAGGGCCCCAGTTTTTAGTAGTGAAAAAGAATATAAAATAACTGTCATAGCAAAATTCTTAATTCTTAGCAAACATATTTGTATGTTTTTTTGAAGGAGAGGAATAGAATCTCTGCTTTTTTTTTTTTTTTTGGTCAGTCATGGGGCCTGAACTCTGGGCCTGGGTGCTGTCTCTCAGCTCTTCAGCTCAAGGCTGTGCTCTATCATTTGAGCCACAGTGTCACTTCCAGCATTTTCTGCTTATGTGGTTGGTGCTGAGGAATTGAACCCAGGGCCTCATGCATGTGAGGCAAGCACTCTACCACTGAGCCACCTTCCCAGCCCCAGAATCTCTGCTTTTAAATCAGATATTCAAGTGGTTCATGAGAGCCTCATAAAAAGTTAAGAACCATTGCTTTCTAAGAGAAAAAGAAAACAGGAACTATCTATTCTACTATGTGTGAAAGTTGTAACTGAAATTCTTTCACAGTTAATATAAATAAATCCCTAGCAGTCAACCTGGATTACATTCAATATCTACTCTGTATCTAAAATAACACTTAAGTATAACAACTCTAAGAAAATTTTAAAAATTTATTTATGGATTAAAATGTGTGCTCTTTTCTGAAGTTTAATTCCGTAATCATAAGGTTTAAGGCAAGGATAGCATAAAGCAGTATTTTTCCAGAGTATGCTAAGAAACATATAGGGTTTTTTTTTCTTTGTTTTTACAGTACTAGGGTTTGAACCCAGGCCCTCACGCTTGCTCAGCAGGCGCTCCACTGCTGAGCCACACCTCCACTCCTTTTTGCTTTCATTATTTTTAGGCCTTGCTTAATGCTTAGGCTGGCCTGGACTGCAGTCCTCCTGATGTCAGCCTCTTGAGGATTGCTAGGATTATAGGTGTAAGCCATCATACTCTGCTGGAATTTACAGATTTTATATAGGAGAATATGTATTAACAGTGATTAGCACTCTATAAACAAAGTTTAATTTTTCTCCCTTCCATAGCTTCTACTTTTAAGTATACTGAACTCTTATTTCTTATATGGTCAACTAGATAATTAAAAAGCAAAAATATTTCCAGATACATCCTTAAATACACTATGAGTAATTTAAAATACAATTTAAAATATACTATTATAAACAGGTTAATCTATAACGAATAAAAATCATAGTCTCCATTTACCAACAAACATATTCTTACCGTCTCTCTGCTTGATTCAGGAAGATGTAAGCCATCCAAAGATTCCATAATTGTTTCTTGAGCAATTAATTTGGAAACGCTAAACATCTTAACATTTGACTTAGAATTTCTGGTGCTACTATTCAAAATACTGACTGCAGCTTCATTGTATGCATCTATCTTCTCATTAGTGATCATTTTCCTATTTTCACTTAATAGATCTTCATAAACAGGATCTGTGTGTGAAACACATTTTTTTTAATTTATTTTTTTTTGGGGTCCTGTCGTGGAGCCTGAACTCTGGGCCTGGGCGCTGTCCCTCAGCTCTTCAGCTCAAGGCTAGCGCTCTACTACTTGAGCCACAGCGCCACTTCTGGCTTTTTTCTTTTTGTTTATGTGGTGCTGAGGAATCGAACCCAGGGCCTCAGGCATGCAAGGCAAGCGCTCTACCACTGAGCCACCTTCCCAGCCCTGAAAACACATTTTTGAAAACAAATTTTAAAAATCTTTATAGGTAGAAACTATAATCATACAAATTAGTTGATCTACATTCAATATTTTGTTCATAAAAGTCCAGATTATACCAAGGAACTAAATATTAACTTTCTGCATAATGCTGGCCAAGGTTTACAATAGATTTTCTTGCTTATATTCAAATTTTGAGTCAACCAACAGCTTCCTCAATTTTAAGAAATATTTGTCTCTCCTTTACATACACAGCTTTGGTGAAACATTTTTATGTTCCAACATGTCTTAAGAGTTTTAAAATTTTGCATCTGAAAACAAGAATTTAAATTGAATTATTGAAGACTAATAAAGAATAACAGCCAATCTTTTTCTTTCCTGTTACTAATTAACTCTGTAAATTTTGTTCTCACAATTTAGGCATAATACAGAGGACTGAGGTCTGTCTAGTCTATTACTTATTACAAGTAATACTAGTTTACTTTTTCTCCTTTTAGTAAGAAAAAGGTTACCAGTGAGTTTGTGAATAAACAGGACCTGAGGAACAGGTTACCAGTATACTTTCTTATTTCATTCCCCTTCATATTCATCTTGAAAATAATCTTAAGAGTTTCTGACAAACAATTCAAATTACTAAAACATCCAAGGCATTTCATACTGTGTTAAGAATTAAGAAATGAAAATTGAATAAATTCCTGAACTGAGTTGACCTAATGCCTACTTCCTCTTGAAGAATTTCATTACAAAGTATAAACTAGCTGATATTAATTTAAATGCTCTGTGAATTCAAAAGAATATTTACTTCTAGTGATTCTAATATGAACATTATTAATAATTTTCTCTGTATTTTCCAACCACAATAAATACACTTTGTTAAAAAGAATCGCAAGTAAACATGCTATTTGCCTTTAGGATTTCTCTTTCTGCAGTCACTCTGCCTGCTCAGGTTCCTTAGAGGATTTTTAAAATTTATTTTATACTCATATTTATTAGTCTGCTTCTGAAAATTTAACAGCAAAATCTACTTTATTCTAATCTCGTAAACCTTACTCAAAATTTGTTTTCATAAAGCAGTTAATTCCGACTCCTGAAACAAGAGATAATAAAAAGCCATGCCTTAAGATGTATACAAAATGACACTTTTTCATTACTCATTTCTTACCTTGTAAAACCCAATAAACATCACTGGTCTTGGCCAATTTTTCCAAAAGTGGTGCTATGGAGGTAATGTTCATTTTATACTGAGAAAGTGCTTCACTGCTACCATTGTGAATCTTGATGGACCACTAACAAGTAATAATTAGGCATTAATTCAGTATTTATCATAGAGACTTTCAAGTATATAATTTACCTAATATAATTACGATTATAATTTTATTGCAATTCCCATTTTAGTTAACATTTAACAACATTTGGTCAAATTATTTCATTAAGTATATGAAGGCAGTTATAAAGACTTTCAATGTATATCATTCAAGAATAAGTCTAGATATAATAATATCGAGCTTTAACACTATATTTACTAAGTTCATTCAAATCTTTTATTATTATTCCCTAGTCTGATTGATTTGAATAGGAATTAAAGTACAAACACAGCCAAGTATTCCATTTACATAAATTACCTTTTTTCTTTACATGTCCTCAGGTGTGAAACACAGATTATTAGGTCAGAACAAAAAAGAGTACTTACTGTGGCTGCTCCTGCTACAATCACATGGGGTTTTGCAACAGAACCCTATAGGAAGAAAACCTTTATAAATGTGTTGAACACCAATTACATCCTTTACTTCTTCCTTAAAATACAAACTCTGCTTCTTCTAAGTGCAACTTAATTTGCTAGAATTTCCTACTGGGTTCTGGTTACAATACATTAGATGTCTAAAATCCAATGACAGGGCTATATGGCTACATAGCATAGCATAAAGCATACATGGTTACTCTTTTGCTGTTCTTAGGGGGAAAATACTGAGTTTTAAACAAGACAACAGTATTCTGAACTGTGAGCAAACTGCTTTGCGTAAAGCTCTAGTGTATTATGTCAATAAATTAAAAGATACTCATGGATGCTTATAGGGTATATAGTGTAAGTGTTAAGTAAAATACAAGGTCAGCTCCCTAAGGAAACAAAATCTTCTGGGAAAGCTAACTAAATTGATAATTATTAAAGATTGGAAGCAGAAAAAAATACTTGGAAATTCACACTAACCTACCAATTGTAGTATTTATAATACAGTATGTATTGTTAGTATAATAGTATATATATGTATGTGTGTATTATAATTACAGAGCAGTGAATAGTCTACTAAATACTTTCTCTTAAGCTATTTCAATATAGATTCTTATGCCCCATAGGTTACCAAGGAAGATGGTGTATATATACTATAAAATACATTCAGAACTACTGATATTATGTCAGGAATACTCAGAACTTTAATCATCTAACTTCTGAGGTCACTGCACTTTCTACACCAAAGATCAAAGATCTGATATTATATCAATGTTCATAAGAAACAAAAAACAAGAAATTTTATTTTAAAACCACACAAAATACTGCTACATTCTCATTATAAAAGTAATATATGTTCAGAGTCATGGAAAACTATTTCTAGTCTAACAAGCTTTACTTCACAGTATAAAAGAATTTCTTTCCTTTGTCCTCATTCAGAAACAGCTCCCTTTCTTCATCTTCCTTATATAGGCTGTGACTGTACTTCTCCTCAGCATAACATCTTAATTCTCAAGTTCAAAGAGGAAATGTATAAGTGCTCCTCCTTCCTGCCCTACTCTTACAACTTCTTCATCTCCACATTCTTTTCAGAGGGGAGTAAAGAAATGAGTCCCCCTTTCTTCTCCAGATTCTCTCTTTTCACTTCTGAAACTTTGATCCATGAGTTATCTCCTCTAACTGACAATATCAATCTTGTACTGCTTCTCTACTCTCCTTCCTTCTATATTAAATCATTCTTATTCTCAAAAAAAATTCTTTCTGTCCATCGATTTACTTATTTATTTGTCTGTTTGTTTATGGCAGAACTAGAACTTGAATTCAAACACTTAGAGCCTCCACTTGAGCCACGCACCCAGACCTCTTTTGCTTTATATATATTTTTGTTCAGAACCGGCCTGAGACCACAGTCCTCATACTTATACCTTCCAGTAGCTGAGTTCTCAATATGTTTTTGCTTAGGCTGGCCTGGAAGACTGTTCCTCACAATGACCACCTTCTAAGTAGCTAAGATAATAGTCAATCTAACAGTCTTACAAGTTTTCCCCTCACACCCTTAGTCAACAGATTACATTAAAAAGCATTCTGTCCTCAGCCTGCTAATTCCTCACATCATGCCTCAATTTAACAAGATTTAATTTGAACTTCACTATTCATTTAAACAGGCTACTAATGAATTTGGAATTGACAGTCCCCTGAGTTTCATTCTACCTTATCTCTTTAAAGTGACACTCCTTTATTACTCACCTTTTACATATCCCATATGTTAAAAAGTTATTGCTACTGATGTTAGTTTTTCCTCTCTTGATTTTCTTCCCACCCCTTTCTACTTCCACTTCTCAGGATCTTCTCAGTAATGAAGTCTTCTCCTTAATCTCTTAAATTCCTTCCATTCAAATAACTTCAAATATCACTTTAATCCATACCAAGACTTCCCCAGTCTACCTAAGTAGCTCTGACTTCTTAATGACTATTATTCACTTAAGAATTAAATCTAAATTGCCAGTTTCCTCACAGTTTAGCCCAATTTCCTCCCAGTATTCCACCATACTGCTATTCTTCCACTTAAAAGTTTCAATCTCTCTCAAATGCCCTAAAAAATAAAATAAATCAAGGTCCTTATTTTTAGCAAATAAACCCTGAAATATTTAAAAGTAGGAAAAAAACCAGGCTGATAAAATATAGCTTACACTATCTTCCATAATCTAGTATCTGCTTGCTTCAGCCTCTCAAGTGCTCAGATTACAGATTCCATACCTAGCTTGATTGGTTAGGTTTGAATTAACTAAGATATAGCAGGAACAGACAATTTTACATCTGGAAAGTCTAGTGTGAACATAGTCTAACCAGTGGCAATGAGGCAGAGCTACTGAGTCAACACCTATCAGGGAAATGCTAAAAAAGCTAAGCTATGTAAAAAAGGTGAGTTGAGTTGAATAGGCACGTAAAAAAGATAAAAACAAAACTTCTTCACAAGCTTTTTAAATTTGGTTCCTCAAAAACAGACCTATGTTTTCAAATACAGACCTCAGTCCACACTTTGATACACTGTTTCATAGACCCATTAACTTCTGGATGCCATAGAAAATCCTGAAAGAGAAATGTTAGAAATAAAACAGTAAACTATATTCTTATTTAGCACCACTCAAAAACAAATATTAAGTCTCTCACAAAGTACATAATCACCTCCCATCTCAATCTCAATGAGATGTCTAATAATAGTTCCTATGTCCACTTTCACCTCATCTACTCTCCATACTTAGCCTGAATATTTTCTTTTTTCTTATCTTTTTTTTTTTTTTTTGTCCATTGTAGGGCTTAACTCTGGGCCTGGGCGCTGTCCCTGAGATCTTCAGTTCAAGGCTAGTGCTCTACCACTTGAGCCACAGCTCCACTTCTGGCTTTTTGAGTGGTTAATTGGGGATAAGAGTCTCATGGAGACTTTCCTGCCTAGACTGACTTGGAACCCTGATCCTTATATCTCAGCCTCCTGAGTAGCCAGGACTACTGATATGAGCCACTGGCACCTAGCTGAATATTTTCTTAAAAAAAGTTTTTATCTTTATTGAAAAGGTGATGAGCATGGGAGTTACAGTTACATAAGGTAATGAGTACATTTGTTTTTAAACACTGTTACCCCATTACTCATCTGTTTCTGCTTACCCCTCGTAATTCCCTTCCCCCCAAGTTGTAAGGTTCATATCCAACATAGTCTCAAGTGAATATCAATGTTGCATTAGTTCATCCTTTGTCCTGCTGTTTCTGTGATTACCTTTCCCTTCCACAGATGGAAAAATCTTATATATAGGACACAAGGTATAGAAAACTAAGAGAAAAGAAAAAAAATAACCACATATAGGACATAATAAGAACCTCTTGTTTCCATATCTTGGAGTTCAAGTTGATACTCTTCATTATGTATGGTCCTATGAACTTAGTAATTGGGTTATTGAGATCCCTTGTTAGGAATATCATAGACATATTCTAGTTCTTAAAATGAGGGACACCATGAAACCTACTTTTCTTTGGGTCTGGCTTACGTGGCTTAATAAAAACAGCTTGGTATTGGCACAAGAACAGGCCTGAGAACCAATAGAATAGAACTGAAGACCCAGAAATGAACCCACAGGCCCATGGCCACCTAATTTTTGGCAAGGGAGACAAAAAATTAGGATGGAAGAAAGACAGCATATTCAACAAATGGTTCTGGAAGAATTGGCTAAACATGTGTAGACAACTAAAGTTAGATCCTTATATATCAACCTGCACCAGAATCAATTCCAAATGGATCAAAGACCTTGAGGTAAATGCAGATATCCTGAAAATACTACAGGAAGGAATAGGAGAAACACTAGGGCTCCTTGGCAAAGGTTGAAACTTTTTTAATAAAGACCCAGAAACACAACAAATCAAAGAAAGGTTGGACAAATGGGATTGCATGAAATTGCAGAGCTTCTGCATGGCAAAGGGCACAGCTAGTGAGAGATACAGAAAGCCCACAGACTGGGAGAAGATCTTTACTAGCCATATAGCAGACAAGGGCCTCATATCTAAAATATACTTATAGCTCAAGAAATTAATTTCTCCAAAAGAAATCTTAAAAATTAAATCTCATCGTTTCATACCCCTTTTATGAATGCTCTCAGAATAAAATCCAAAAATGCTGAGAAGGTAGAGAATATTTATCACCTGTCTGCCCTAGTTTATGCTACTTCTGCCCTTGCTCTCTAAGACCTGAAACTACTAGTAGACCAAGAACGTTTCTGTCCTGATACCTACTGAATTCTCATTATGACTTGGAAATTTGTATATATGACTGCAAATTTGTATATATTCTTTTATAATCACTAATCCCAGAATGATGGATTTCAAATTACTACACAAGATTATTTTCTCCTGGATAAAGGTTTAACCAAATAGTCTACTTCATTACATAAAACAACTACATAAACATTTACTCCATTGTCTTGCTGTGTGTATCTGTTCTCAAGATCACATTGAAAACTACTTAGTATATACAAAGTAGTAGCTGAAATATAAGCTTATTTATAAATAACAATATCAATATTATCACATTTATAAATAACAATATCAATATTATCACATTTATCTTACTAGTACATGAACTTACCACTTTAACTGAAGCAATCTTATCTTCAAAAGGAATGTTTTCATGCTGCCATAATAAAGGAGATAACACATGTAAGTTTGTATATATATGCAAATGTATAGAACAAACATGTTTCCCTTTAGCTGTTATTTTAAAATGTATTTTTATGCACCAAATATCTATTACTAATACATTCAATCTGAAAGAGGGGGGGAAAGCTAGATAGAATACTAAAAAAATAACTCTAGTTGTTTCTATTGATTTAAACATATATAATATATATGGTTCAAAATAAAATAGGATGAGTGTAGCGGTATATACCATCAAAACAAAAACAAAAGATAGAAATGGTTTCAGATTAGAAGCTCTGAATAGAGAGAAGTAGAAGGGGGCAATAAGAAGCTAGTTCTGTTCCTAAAATTAAGGTTAAAACATTTTCATTAATTTTTGTATATATAAAACTAATGGAAAACACATTTACACTTAAAAAGTCTACAAATAGCTGACTTTATTGTTTTTCATTACTCTGAAAAGGAAGAGCCACTGAGGATTAAGGACCCATTATCTTCACTATGTGAATTGCTACTTAGCCATGAAGCTCATTTTCAACTACTTACTAAAGGCCAGGTTGTTCCATACAGGCAAATTTTTATTAAAGGTTGATGAGCTACTCTTCCTACAACTCTATACAGTCTTTTATTTCATTTTTTGCCCCTTTCAGTTCCCTACTTCTAATGATAAACTGTTTGAAGAAAGGGATTAGAAGATGATCACTTAAAATCTATAGAGGTTATATTAACTCACTAAAATATAATTAACTATTAACAACATAGAAAGATATTAATCCTTATCTATTTTACAAGGATTTGTTTTTTTTTTTCTTTTTTGGTACTGGGGATCGAACCCAGGACGTTGCGCTTGCTAGGCAAGCGCCTTGCCACTGAGCTACATCCCAGCCCTGTTTCTCATTTTAAAATGAACTTTTGTAACAAATCCTTGTAAAAGGGCTGGGATGTAGCTCAACGTCCTGGGTTCGATCCCCAGTACCAAAAAAGAAAAGACAAAAAAAAAAATGAGAAACAGATGGGCACCAGTGGTACATGCCTGTAATCCTAGCTACTCAGTAGGCTAGGATCTGAGTATAGCAGTTCAGAGCCAACCCAGGCAGGAAACTCTGTGAGACTCTTATCTACAATTAACCACCAGAAAACCAGAAGTGGCACATGGCTCAGGTGGTAGAGCACTTGCTTTGAACTGAAGGGCTCAGGAACAGCGCCCAAGCTAAGTTCAAGCTCCATGACCAACAAAAAAAAAAAAGAGAAACATACCAGAAAACAACAGAAAGGTATCATTAGTTTTCATTTATAGGCTGATCACTCTGAATCAGAAAAATGGTGACATATATTGCCAACATGGTAGGTGTCAATATACACTGCTAATTAAGAATAGAAACTGAAACAATCTGGCAAGATAATCAATTTTAATATCTTTACCTTAAACTCAGCAGTTGTATTATAGAAATTCCATATAAAAAATTTAAAAAGCGGGCTGGGAAGGTGGCTCAGTGGCAGAGCGCTTGCCTTGCATGCCTGAGGCCCTAGGTTCGATTCCTCAGCACCACATAAGCAAAAAGAAAAAAACCGGAAGTGGCGCTGTGGCTCAAGTGGTAGAGCGCTAGCCTTGAGCTGAAGAGCTGAGGGACAGCGCCCAGGCCCAGAGTTCAGGCCCCACGACCGGAACCAAAAAAAAAAAAAAATTTAAAAAGCAAAGTTTTTGCACAAAGATATGAGTACAATAGTGCTTCTTTTATTGCAAAAAAATTTTAAAATACTAAAAAATAAAATTTTAAGGGAAGATTACATAAAATTCCATTATATCCACTCAATAATATGCTGCTATTAGAAAGATACTTAAGCTGATTATATAATAACATGGTGAATTATGATAAGTGGTGAGGGGAAAGCCAGATATAAAATTACATGTGGTAAAGCTCACAAGTATGTGTTTTTAAAAAGGAGACTAAAAGAAAATGTGCCAAGGATATTAGTAAGAGGATAGAGATATTCCTTGTTGTCTCAAGGAATTTTTGTAAATTTGTCTATGGCAAGAAATTATTCCTGAGAACATTGAAGTTAATTAAGGTCCGATAATAAATACCTTCACCTCCACTTCTTTTTTTTTTTATTCTCCATTACAACAAACCACCCTTCTTTTCCCTGTTTTTCCAAAACTCAAAGCAAAACTTTTACAGTTCCTACTGGTAATCCAGAGCAGCACATACCTCCTAAAACTATTAAACTTCTAAAACTACATCTAAGAGAAGAAAGTAAATGAATTTTACCTTATTTCCTTCTTCTTTGAACTGGGGATTAATTATTTTTACAAAAGAATAAAACAATTGACGAATTCTGGAATCTCCAATAAATGCAATGTGTTTATCTACAAGGCAGTTCTTTGCTTCACTGCAATCAACAAAGAAGTATTAATAGGTAAAATCAACATATTTGCATTTCAAAACACATAGTTTAATGGAGAAAGGCCATGTCTAGTCATGTTAATTTAAAAGTAGATGAACTTTACTACTGGGGGGGGAGACTTTAGAGGGGCAAGGTGAGTGGGAGAAAACAAGGGAATGGATAACTGACCAGGAATGTATTCATTACCTTACTTATGTAACTGTAACCCTCTGACATCACCCTTACAATAAAATTAAATTAAATTTAAACAAAAGAAAGTAGATGGCCAGATTTATTTAACTTACTAGTTCTGTAATTATTACCAAATAATCCTCAACTATAGTAACCCCCAGTCATTAATTAAGGAGTATTGTAACTTTATTAAATGCTTTATATCCATTATTTCAGAATAACTTTCATAAGGTAGGTATCCAAGTTACAGTGGAATAGGCCACTGCTCATAGGACTTGGTCCTTGTCCCTGTCCTCATTTACCAAAGATAAAGCCACCTGGCCAAGGGCCTTTCTTTAATACTTTAGGACAAAAATCTTCTATTAGAATCATTCAGGTAGTATGTATCCCACAAAAAGAAAAACACTACCAGGTACCAGTAGCTCACATCTACAATACTAGGTCTCAGAAGCTAAAATGAAGGATCAGTCTACAACCAGTTGAGAAGTTCAAATCTGAGAGATTCTTATCTGCAATTAACCAACAAAACGCCAGAACTGGAAGCATGGCTCAAATAATAGAGTTTGTCAGCCATGAGCAAAAAAGCTGTATGTGAGGGCTCTAGTTCAAGCTCTAGTACCAGCATCAAAAAAAAAAAAAAAAAAAAAGGAGGGAAGAAAAGAGGAGGAAAGGGAAGAGGAAGGAAGAGAAGACAATATTGTACTCTCCCTCACCACTCTCTCTCCATTAGATATTAAGACCCATGAAGGGGGTAGGGAGGAAGAAAAGCATCTTACTTGATTTTGTATTTATGCATCATACAACTGTGAGGCTGCCAAACTTTTTCTCCAAGGAATCTGCCACTTGAGAGAAGGTATTCACATGAATCACTGCCTGTAACAGTAAAACACCATGGTATAGTGTTTATGTGTGTGTGTGCACACATATGTTATTGTAATCCCATTTAAGATCCTGAAGAAAGCGCGCAGTTTTCTATGCTTCCCTATACCTGCTTGGATATATATAAATTATTCATGAAAAGCATAGTATATGAAAAGCATAGTTAATACATTAACACTCATGAGGGGAAGAGCCATTATTGCCTTACACATTATTCTATAAGTCTCTATACTATCTCTGATGCATTGGCAATTTCTTTTCCTTTCCTTCAAGTTTTTTTTTTTTTGGTCTTTTCTTTTTAGTACTGGGGATTGAACCCAGGACATTGTACTTGCTAGGGAAGTGCTTTGCCCCTGAACTACATCCCTGCCCCCTCTTAAGGATTTTTTTCCCAGAGTTATCACCTCCATCTCAAACCAGCCTTTCTATGTTTATCACTCCTACTTTGGGTTGCGAAAGAAAAGTTAAAGGGCTAAAAAGACTCTGGCAATGACTTCCTACTCTTCTAGTAGATAACATATTAGCATATCTGAAAACCTAGTTTTAAATAGAAAGGTTCATAGCTAGAAAACCCCTCTGTCCCATGTAAAACTAGGAGAGAGTAATTCTACATCCTTTGGCAATTTTACTGTACATTAGCTCAATACACATCACTGAAAGAACAAAAAGGTGATTTGGAGGTATTAAAAAACTGAGACATGATACAGATTAGGAGAAAATGAAATGTATCGATTAACTGTGGGGTTATAATAAAATGTAAGCTTAATTTTAATGTTAGTTCTTTATTAATGGCAATAAGTAAGCTGTTTGTTTTACAATTTCTTCAGGTCAGGCTGGTAAGAGTCTGGTAAGAGGAATATGACAGAACAAAAATATTGCAGAATCATTTAGGGAGGAGATAGGGAAGACTCAAAGTTGGTTCTACTGGATTTGGGAGTTTTCTGTTTGTTTTTGCAGTGCTAGGGATCCAACCCAGGGCTTCATTTAGGGTATGCAAGCACTGTACCACTGTACCACAGAGCTGAATCTCTAGCCTCCAAAACACTTAAAAGGAGAAAAACATAACTTTTCTCATTTCAATTATTCTTTTAGCAGGCCACAATAGACTCTAGAGGAGACAACTGCAAGTATTTTGGCTGTAGTGTCATAAATTACAGATAGAGGAAGGAAAAATGAAAATACTGCACTGTTCTGCAAATGAAAAACTGTATAAGGAATACAGGATATCAATGGTTAAATCTTTGACGATATATATAGATATATCTATGTATAGATATATCCTGAGGGGTTTTTTTACTTCAAAGATTTTTAATAAGCTATCTCTAAGTATAATTAGTTTTTAATTCTTTCCATTAAAAACAAATTTTTGTTCTAAAATACAAAATACGCTGCATAAATAACCAAGGATGAGCAAAGAAAAGACTGTAGGAACACACAATTAAGTTATTTCCCTAAAAACAGCACTCCTGCAATAACATTCTTGTATGGCAAAATCTGATTAAAATTCTAGGAAATCTTTAAAACTCAGGATGAAAATTTCATAGTTACTACATTTCTACATGTTTTGACATATCTATTAAACTAATTACATGTTAGTAACATACCTATTTTTAAGCAAATATGAGTTGTAAAAACTAGATATTAATCTTGTGGCGTCTCCTTTTTTTCTCCCAGTCCCGACTGTGTATTTGGTAATTAAATTTTTTTAAATAACTCTTTAATCAACCTTCAGTGTCTGGTATTATGTGATTTGTTACACATCTGCATAGGTTATCAATATGATTCTGTGGAGATGGACGTATCATACCAACATATTAAAATAATTTTTCCTCCACCAGAAAATGTACTGTCAATGCACCATTCTTCTTTCCCTTATCAGTATGATCTTTACTTTGCCTTTCAGGAGCTCAGCTAGTAGGCAATAGCTTTAATGCTAATATATAAAAATATAATATATAACATATATATAATATGTAATAGTAATATAATAATATATAATATTATAATATAATATATAAAAATAATATATAATTCCACAACAAAATAGAGTTGAAGTTAGTTACTAACCAAAACATTCTAAAAACACAGTATTTTAGAGACCACTGGTCTTTCAAGGGGTAAAAAAAAAATTTTAATATGCTAGTGAATGCTAGTTTATGACAACTCTTCTTACTATACTTCACAATGTAGAGAGACTGTTTTTAATCTTTTGCCCAAAATTATGAGTTTAGCTGTCATAACAATATCTCGTTGGAAGAAAGAACATGTATCAGTTGTTTTAATAGACATAGTTTAATATAAAGATTGTAAGCAAAGTAAAAGAACTACTAACTAAGAGAAAAGGCCATAATGGCTTTTTTTTACATTCATCAGCAAAATAAAAATAAAATTAGTAATAAAGAAAAATTAACCTGATTTAGAAAAGAAAATTCTGTAAACACTACACTCTAAGAGAAGTTCTCTTTTCTTGGGTCAGATCAAATTACTAAATGTAAACCTAGATATTAAAAATGGCAAATCTGCCGTATTTTAATATACATATATTTAAGTATCTGCTGGCATATATTATCCTTTCTAAGTGAATCAAAAACAAAAGAAACACTCCAGGCATTATTTTTGTCTAGCATGATTATGATAGGTACTTTAATACAACCAACATGAGAAGTTACTAAGTGGCCTGATTAAATCAAGCTAGGCACTCAATTTTCAAAAAAACAACTAAAGGATAAAATTATCTATTGGAGCTATCTCTAATACTAAGATTATCTAGATGCCTGACTATCTTCTTCAATCTTTTCCAGTATAAGCATCTGGCTTGTTAATCTAGCTTTGGATTTTTATTAAGGACTTTTTTTTAGTAATAAAAAGTTATTCAGGAACAAGCAAAGAAAGAAAATACACAAAAAAGAAACAAAACCCAAAAACAACACCTAAGAAAACACCTAATACTCTCAATGAATTACAACTTCCCTTTTCCTTGGCATACAATACCTCTGGACATGGTTCATTTTGCTGAGCCACCCTACTGCAACCGTGAGCTTCTTACTACCACCATGAAAATATCAGATGACAAAGTATACAGAATGGTCTGTAAAACACGGCCTAAAACTCAGCAAGCAATAGTTAATTCTATGCTAGAAAACACTATTTACTTTTTTCTTTACACAAAGTAGGAGTGACACATCAAAATCATATAGATCAGGTCTAACAGTCAAAGAACGTTAAGCCTAAGTGACCTATGGCTATTACATGCTTTAATTCTTGAGGCTTTCAGTTTACTTTTCCCCATAACATGCAATAGTAGTTAACGTTGACATTTTATATATATATATGTGTGTGTGTATATATATATATATATATATACACACACACATATATATATATATATATACAGTCAGTGACAGAAAATAATTCATTAAAAAAATTAAGACATCTGAAATTAACTTTATTAAAAAAATTAAAATTCATCCAAACTGGAATGTTGATCCTTAAGGCAACAGGTAAGGATCTTTTGATACTGAAGTGATTATTTTAATCTATAACCACACTATTAAGGGACATTTGTGATTTATGACTATACAAGACCGGCAAAATCTAGAAAAAAGTATAGTTAAGAAAGTAATTTACTTTAAAATATCATCCTGTTATACTATGTGGAAATATTATTAATCATTAAAAACTCCTCTACTTTCATCAGGAGATCATGGCTTATGTCTGTAATCCTACCTAATCCAAGGCTGTGGGAAGCTGTCACAGACTTTCTTGTGAGAGCTTCTCCAACAAACTACCAAAGTAGCCAGAAATGGAGTTCTGGCTCAAGTGGTACACTGTGAACCTAAAGCAAAAGAAGCTCAGGAATAGCACCTAGGCCCTGAGTTCAAGCCTGAGGACCGACACCAAAATAAATGAATAAATAAATGAAGAAATATGAAAACAAAAACAAAAATGCTGAACTTTCAGAAACTGAAATTAAAACAAAACATTCAATTAAATCCACAAAAGAATCAAATACAGGGAGAAAAATTGAAGAAAACAAAGACTGCAAATCTATTTATCCAGTGGGTATTTATAAAGTTCCTATTGTGTATTAATAAACTCTGATGATTTAAAGACAAAAAGACACTCGTGAAGGCTCACAGTCTATGTAGAGAAGGTAGATAGCAATTATTAAAATACAACATGGTCAATAGGTACAAGTTACTGTTGCAGAACTTAATTCCTACTTCTGTGGAGGTGACATTTGAACCAGGCCTTGAAGAAAAACCTATACTTTCTTTCAAAAGGATAGGCCTTTGCAAGCAGAAAAACAAACAAACAAAAAACATTTATCTGTAAGAGACTTAAAAAGGAAGGGCATGTTTAGACAGAGAACTTGGAGTTAGGAAGAATAATGGAAAAGCACATAGGTAACAAAAAGTAGGCTTTGGTCAGATTTTGAAGTTTTACACATATAACTTTTAAAAATTTATCTCTTGGCTGGATTAAAGAGAAAAAGTCTTGGCTGATAATGTAAAACTGAATAAGTGTATGTAAATTGTTTAACCCTGCCCTTCTCCCTTGAATATGCTTTCTTACTTCATCTTTCGTATTTAATAATTGATGAGAAAGGCAGACTATAACACAATGGCAAGAGGCTGACCAACAGGATCCTAGCTCAGTCATTAACTAGTTGTATAATTTTAGGCAATTTACTTAACCTCTCTACTCTCATCTTCAAAATGTAAATAATACTGTAATTCACTGAATTGAAGACCACTGATTATAAGACATTATTTTGTCATAGTATGAAAAAAATGTTACCAATTAAACTTTGACATGCAATCAAAGTTTAAAGACTCATCCTGATTACAGAAATGTTAAGGAAGGAGAGAGATGAAATACGGTAATTGTATAGATCTCATAGAAAGGCTGTAAAAAAAAAGTAAAACCTGGTATATAAGTGGCTCAATGGTAGCACACAGTTATTTGCCAAAGTTTACTTTCTGTGGTGTTC